CACTCCTTATATACACTTGCAGCAGCACCAAAACTTTGAGTGTCAGCATGGGACAGTGAATTTATTCCCCAGAACAAGTTCTCAACAGTGGCTGATGAGCACTCCTGTTCCACAATTAAAAGATAATACTACAACATTTCTTATCTCATCAGCAAGGGAAATGTCATTCCCCTACACACTGAGTTATGGTGTCTTTAGCATTCCTTCTTTTAGCCAGGTAAACCAGTTCTGCAGTTAGATATTCTTGCCTGCCATGTAAATTAACCAATGCTGAGCAAAGCAGTTATAATTTACATTTCTCCTTCAATATACTAGTTTCAACTTCTAGATAGAGTTTATTATCCTTAAATACAAAAAAGAGACACTTGTTCGGTACTTTAGCCATCTCAGATGTGATCAGCAGTGACAGTGTGTTGTCCTGCCCTCAAATTCCTCCTTCAACCTGGGCATTATGACCTGTAATACGCTTAACTGTATGTATCTTTTTTCAGCTAATGAATGCAGTCCTTAAAACATGAAAGTATTCATTGTGATGTTACAGTATAGAAATATATCCTAAAGCCCATTTTCATCAACAATAAATTTATTTTATTTGCTGAGTTTAACTGCTTAGCACTGCACCTAGCTTAGCTTTTAAAAGGACAGATAATGGCAACATTTTTATTAAATTCCTTTCTAAAGCAACAAAGAATGTTTATTTTGTCAGACTCTCAGAGGTACAGACTTTTTCAAGGAAAATCTCTACAAACATTATATTAATTGATTAATTAATTATATAGTAATTAATTTAAAGTAGGCTTTGTTTTAGTGTCAGCTTTTCATTCTGTGATCTGTTATGTTTTATGGTAAATGACATAAAATAGCACATCCAGACAATTATCCTTAAAATATTTTCATGTGAATAAACATTTTTATCTAATAGGAAGGAAGAAGAGTTTTACAAACCTTAGACTTTAGCTTTAGTTACTTTTAGAGGATTTCACTACTATCTGATATAAAATTAAGTATGTATTTTATACAGTGATTAAAACACATACCATAATAAAACTTATGAATAAAGGAATTTTCTTAGTTTTAGTCATACTTTATCATCTTATATATCCTATGATACCATGAATGAACAATCTTCAGATTAGTAATCAGAAAGCTGCTTATAATAATAAATGTCAATAAAATATATTCTGTATTTGTTTCTTTCTTTTTGTTTGTTTGTTGTTTAATCTGTATATTGGCTTCTTAACAACTTGTCCTATGAAATTTTTAGGAACTAGTTAAGTATAACAAAACACTGACTTCTCAAATATACTATATTGAGTTTGGATAAACAAAATTTATCCGTTGACAAGAGTTAAATTTTACTAGAATCTGTAAATGAGTAAATTGAAACTAATGTTTGCAGATGCTCTTCCTACATAGTGATCTGTTACAAGAATATCAGATAGCTGAAAAGATGATGATGCTTACATTGCTACTGTTGCATTTTGACATGACTACTATTGCACCTCTTGAGTAATTTCAGAGGTTTTTTTTTTTTTTTTTTTTTTTTTTTTTCCTGAGTAATTTGAAATACATGCAGTAATTTTACTGGAACTATCTTAGTGGTAATTATTTGGTGTGTATTGTTAAGATCATTTAGAAAATGATCTTAGGAAAGAAAGAAAGAAAGAAAAGTAGCAAGCAAGAAAAACAGTAACAACAACAACAAAAAAAGTGATTCACAATACAGAATATTTCAATAAGAAAAGGAAAGAAAGAAAGAAAATGCTTCCTGCCTTCTTATTTCATGCTCTCTTATTAAAATAAAAAATAAAAATTATGGGTGTGTTCCTTTATACAGGGTATTTTTTTTTTTTTTTTTTTTTTTTTTGCAATTTTTGATTGAATGTTTAAGTTGAATTTTGAGTAATGATTTATTGTATTTTCTGTACAAGAAACAGGAAGAGGAGAAGGGAATCGAGAGACCTAAAAACAATTTCTGCATGACCAAATCTGAAAGTCCATTTGAACGTTCAAAATATTTTGATCCTTGTACCGCTTCATTTCCATATGGATATAAACTCTGAATTATTTCCAAAGACTGTATCACCAGTACAAAACACTTGGCCCCACTGTACATCCAACACACAAAGTCAAAATCCACAATCCATACTACTTTGAAGAATCCAAAATTTTCTCTCCTCAGGATTGCTTTATTTTGAGAAGTTATGCTTGAAAAATGTGTGTCTTAGTTGCAGAAGGCAGTACCATAATCTGGCCATAAACCAGTCTTATTCCAAGTAAGTCAGTATGCATTCAAGAAGATCTGAATGTAATCATGCAAATCAAAAGTTTTAATTAACTCTATGCTCTTAAGACATTAAAACTTAAAGTTATTAGAGAAAGCAGATAATAGAACAACGTGGGGTAAGTTAGCTGATTTAAACATTATTTTGGGATGGTTTTTGTCCTTTCACCCTTGATTAAATTTAGATCCTGATCGCTGTCTGTCTGGATTATAGAGACATTAAATAGATATACTGCTTCCTGAAAGCGAGAAATACTTTTCCTGGTTCTTATGCAAACTCAGTCAAACAACTTATTACATGATTACTCCTTTTATGGGGAAGACTGGAATACTGAAATAAAGTTTTATCCCAGAATGCCTGACTAGATTAATATAGAAAAAAACTAAAACTATGACTTTATCATTCATTACAGTGTTCAAAGCAATTTATATTCCCCATTTCTAACAAGTTTTGGAATTTTCTTAGCATATTTACTAGACATTTATCTGTGAAGACATTTTGCTTTAATTTATTCTAAATTCATTGGTGAATACTTTCTGCAAATAGGCTGTGATATGTTTGTTGTATGCATTTATTTGAAACTCAAGCTGTTATTTGAATAGTCAGTCACAACTTTTCATGCTGTAACTCCATCCTTGCAATCTTTAACCTTGCATATTTTTTTATGATAATTCTTTCTACTTCCAGTTTGAATTGTTTTGGTAATATACTATGATACATGATGTGTCTACAGCTTGCTGCCAGTAAATTAATTCATTGGAATATTAGCAGAGAACAAATACAAATAGCACTGTTGATAAAGCAAATTATAAATCTATAGTGAATTAGAAATTTTACCAGTATTTGTCATCAGAATTTTTTTAACTTCTTAGCAACCTGATATCAGAGTCACAAAATGCTGGCTTAACTAATAACTCTCTACCTATCTCCTCACTAACATTCTTAAGGGAGGTATGTTATAGCTTCTTTAGCTGGAAAATTACAAATGAAATATATGTAATTTTTCTCCAAATATTTTCCTCAAAATGAAAGGGACATAAATCAATACCAACTGTCTGTCCTCTTTCCTTAATTAACTATTACAAATCCTTATTTTAGATTGCCATATCTGCTACTGCATAAGGTGTAATTCCATAACATTTCTTCCTGTGTCCTTTGAACTTTCTTCTATTGAGCAAATAGCCATCCTCTAGCTGGATGTTTTCACCTCTTTTAAGAGAAAATCTAAGTCAGCTATTGTCTTTGTGTTCTTTCTGCTATTGCAGTAACTGTTATCAGGAAAGATAATCCAGAATAGCAGTACAGAATGGCTGTTCTCAATGACATTTCTCTACCACTTTCCAAGAATTTTCACTCTACTGAAATAGAAGTTCTGGATTTGCCTCCCTTACTTGTGCAATTCAATCTCCAATATGCCTTTTATCAGAATATGATTACTTTTGTTGGTTTTAAATACCAACAATCGTGTTTCAGTTAGGAGTGAAGAATTTTGGCTATCACAATGATTCCAGTCATTGTTGAAAATTTCATCTTAGATATCGATGCATTGTGTTTAATTGAGAGTGGGGTGGGGCTGCATGTGTGGCTTATGTAAGAAGAGCCCAGGTGCTGCCCCATGTTAAATAAAAATGGGTAACAGTTAGAACCACTACCCGCCAAATGGAGACACTCAGTGATGTTTGTTGTGCCTCTCTGAGTCTACACTTAAGAACAACAAAAAAATAATACTGCACCCCAACAATTGAGAGAGAAGATTAATAAAACATAGAGAGAAACAACATTGATGACACCAGGGTGCAATGAGAAAGAGAGGTGGAAGTGATTTAGGCATTGAACAGAAGCTCCCTGCAGCCTAGGGGATGCCCATGGGAGAACAGGCTGTCCCCCTACAGCCCATGGGCACCATGCAGAGCAGATCTCCACTTGCAGATGTGGGAATTGAATGTTGTTTCTGCATTAGATGTTAAAAAAGGCAATTGGTTTGAAGAAGTAAACATAATGTATTTGTATTCTGTAACTTATCCTTAGAAATAATTGACCTATGAAATAGAAATACTGTATATGTTAGCAGCATGTTTTAGAAACATTTTTACTGAATAATGTGGTTAATTCTTTCTTGCAAGACTGTAATAGTTGTTAAATGTTCCAAACAACGTGGGTATAGTGTTAGGGATTAGAAAGCATATTGTAGGGTTGATAAGATATTCCCAGCCAAATAAAAACAGATTTAATAAACATCAAAAAGCTAGGGCCTCTACACAAGGCTGGACTTGTGAGAAGGTTGTTATGTAACAGGCAGGCATCAAGATACTCCCCTCTGTCCTCCTTCCAAGCTTATCTCTATGCAAGGGAGGACAAGGAGATATTCAGAAACAATGACCAAGTGCAGAGTGAGGGTCAGAAGTTAGATTAATTAATTAGAAGTTTATGCTTAACCAGCAAAGATTTATGTTTGTTCAGTGTTTGTATGTTTAGTAAAACGTCGGGAAAATTGTGAACCTAAAGCACTCAGCCAATGAGGAACCAGGGGAGAAAGAAATAAGCATCAGGAAATAGGGCATAAAAGATATAACACTGTTTTCTATGTGCTCTCCTGCTTGCAGGAGGCCCGCCATTGCAATTGCGAATAAAATCTGCTTTATCAGACATACCATCCTGATAAATTATTTGGATGTTTCCAGTACAGCCATGAAGAAGTTCATGGTGTAGCAATGGATGAGGCCTGAAGGGGGCACAGCCCACTACCTGAAGGAGTCCCCACAGGAGCTGCAGCCTGTGGAAAGTAGCCTATGGTAGGGCAGGAGGGTTGAGGGAGCTGACATTGGTGGGGACCCATGCTGGAGCAACGTGTTCCTGAAAGGTGAACTCTATGATACAGACCTGTGTTGGAGCAGTGCATGTTGAGCTGCAGCCTGTGGGAAGCCCATGCAGGATCAGTATGGGAAGGATAATATCCCATAGGAAAGACCCAATGCTGGAGTAGAGACAGAAAGCTACTGTGAAGGAGAGGCAGAGACTGAGTGTTATGGGCTGATCACAGCCCAATTTCCCATTCTCCTGAGCTGCTGAGGGTGGTGGTAGGGGGTGGGTAGCTTGCCTGTAGTTTTCACTGCTTTAATCTGTTATCAGTAGGCAATAAATTGCATTAATCTCCCTACACTAAGTTTGTTTTCCCAGTGACAATAATTGGTGAGTGATTTCCTCATCCTTATCTCAACCTGAGAACCTTTTTTTCAATGCATTCTCTCACCCTTTTTTTCTGAGGAGGAGAAGTGAGAGGGAGGCATGGTAGTGCTGATCTACCTACTACTGTTAAACCACTACAGTGAATAGGTATTTTTAAGGCCTTACTGTGAAGAGGATTTGATGCCAATTCCTGTTTTCTGTGGTATATGTACTCATCTGATATATACATAAAAAAAACATTAGAAAATAGCTGTCTTTCAAAGCAAAACAGTGAGATTCATCCATATTATTATTCCATGAAACAGTTTTACATGCTGTTTACATTGTCATCTTACACTACCAATTTGAGCCTTTCAGACTGTTTTGCCAAGGTTCACTTGCTGTTTCACTGAACACATACTTTGAATTACAGTACTAAAAATCCTAAGCGAAACCATTTGATATTATATACAGTATATATTTTTTGAGTGCTGCTCCAAAAGTAATGACTTCTATTTTATTATTTTGTCCCATGTTGCTAGAGGCAGATGTTGGTGGTATGTCAGTAGAGGTTGAGATTTTCTGCCAGTATCCGCTTATATTTTGTTGCCATGCATCAGATGGCAACGGGGGTGGCAGTCTGACAGAATGGTTTCTGACATGGAAGTGTGTATGAAGCGAAAGTGTGGAACTGAATTATCCCACGTGGAACAAATAGCACCTGCTGACATTCACTGACTTTTGTTCAACATTTCGCAGAATCAGGATCACAGAATTGTAGGGGCTGGAAGAGACCTCCAGAGATCACTGAGTTCAACACCTCTGCTAATGCACACTCCTTAGACCAGGTTGCACAGGTAGAAGTCCAGGCAGGTCTTGAATACCTCCAGAGAAGGAGACTCCACAGTCCCCCTAGGCATCCTGTTCCAGTGCTCCATCACCCTCACTGTGAAGAAGTTCTTATGCACGTTTGTGCGGAACTTCCTACGCTTCAGTTTGTGGCCATTTCCCCTTGTCTTATTGTCACACACTGCTGAAGTCTGCCCTCAAGAAGCCATATTCTTATGGAGATCAAGCAGTGGATGTGAGCACAGTGAGATTATGGATGGTGTGTTTCTGCAGTGGCAACAGTGACAGTAGGTCACCTTCATTGGTGCATATTTTTTGTGAGCACAGCATGCATCTCTTATTTATCACTAGCAAAAGTACATAGGTAATGGTGATGACTATATTGAAAAACTGTTTTGTAGCTAAGAATTTGTTCCATTTGTGTTATTGTGCTGTTTGTATCTGTTGTAGTTCCCATGGAAATAAATAGAGGGCATTACTTTCAGAGCAATATTTGTGTATATGGCCCAAGACTCAGTGTGGCTAGGCAAGCCAAAAGATTGGACATCCACACTAAAAGGGTTAAAAGATCATTAATAGGCTACATTTATTTTCATATATTCTCACCTGCACATTGAAATTAATAGTTTTGACACAACATTAATTTTAAATTGAGGGTAAGCTGGAATGTTTATTAATGCATGATTCAAAGGAAAGAAAGTAGCTGAAGTATCCAACATTTCTTCTGCATCACTTACTTTATATTTTAGCAGTAACTCATAACTAGTGATTTCTACTGGAGGCTTGAAAACAGAAATGTTTCTTTTGAACTTCACTAAAGTCCAGGAAGAAAAAGCAGTGGCACATGTTCTTTATTTTGTATTTTTTACAAAGTTTTTTCAGCATTTTTTGGAATATTAGAATATTTTAAAAAATATACTAAGTTTTGCCTTTAAAGAACACAGTTTAGAATTAATATTCTGTAAATATATACTAGTAATATGTGGAAAAATCAAAGTAAGCTCATCATGTTTATTAAATATGCTGAAGTACTTCAGTCAATATTTTACAGGCTGGTTTGCCCCGATTCTGTGACAAAAGGGCAGGGGGGACCCACAGATACATTGCCTCAGGAAAGGGGAAAGTGAGAAAAGCGGAAAGGGTAGGGAGATGGGCCGAAAAACAAAACAGCAGCAACAATCTGAGGAGGAAAGGTAACTTACTAAATATATTCTCAGAATGCAAGATAACACAGTATAGTTCATTATAATTAGAATTGAAACTAACAAATAAAATGAGAGAGAATGTCAAAAAAAAAAAAAAAAAAAAAAAACCAAAAAACCAAAAACCCGAAAGCCGTACTCAAATGCTGAAGGCAAGACATAGAATCAGAGAATTGTAGAATCAAAAGGTTGGAAAGGACCTACAAGATCATCTAGTCCAACAGTCCTCCCATTATCATTGCTATCACAGGCCACTAAAACATATCTCGTAGCTCCTCATCCAGATGCCTCTCGAACACTGCCAGGGATGGTGACTCCACCACCTCTCTGGGCAGGCCATTCCAGTGCCTTACCACTCTCTGAGATAAAAAGTTTTTCTTTATGTCTAATCTAAACCTCCTCTGGTATAACTTGTGGCCAATTCCTCGGGTCCTGTTTGTTGCCTGGGAGAAGAGGCCAAACCCCTACTCATCACATCCTTCCTTCAGAAAGTTGTAGAGTGCAATTAAGTTGCCTCTGAGCCTCCTCTTCTCCACACTAAACAATCCCATCTCCTTCAGCCACTCCTCATAATACTTGTGTCATGGTTTTGTATTTCTTTTTTTTGTTTACAGTATTCCACATCATAACATCATGTAGTGCACTGGGAGTTAAAGTGTCAGTGCTCCAATTCCAGGTACCTATCCCTATACATCATGGAAATCATGAGATCTGGCCCTTCCGGGTGGGGTGGTCTCTCTTTCTGCCTTGCAATGGTTGCTGGAGGGTGCTTTCCTAGCCCTACAAAGCTTTTCAGGTTTGACTCAGTTTGACTCAGGAACTCTCTCTCCTATATTTTATTTGATTTATTAGTCTCAATTTCAATTAGATTGTATTATACCGTGTTATATTGCATTCTGATATCATAGTTAGTAAAATAAGTTTTCCTCCAAAGATCGTTGACACTGTTCTTTTTTTTTTTTCCTTCCTTGAACCCAGCTCCCATCTCTCTATCCCTTTTCCCTTTCCCTCCCATTTTGTGGGGTCGGAGGGGCCCAAGGGCCTACTGCCACCCTGTCATGGGCATAGATTGATGTAATTAACTTCGTGACAGTTTTTGGTGGAGGATTTGGGCAGAAGATGCTTTTTAGCCTTTAAAATGAATCTCCCTCTCTGCTCTAGGAGAGCTTCTTCAGGGAACATTATCAGTATTTCAGGTTTCCGTGTTGGAAAGCTTGACTTTGAAAGCCCAGGTATACTGCCAGAATTCTGGGATATTTGTAAACTTTGAGCAATACTTAGCCTGGGCAGTGCTTTTTCCTTCTTTTTTTCCCTTTGTCAGCTTACATTCATTAACATCCTTTAGCAGCTACCAGCAATGAACCCACTCTTGATCGTGGGGGCGCTGTGTAAGGGATTAAAAGCCATGATATTACTCGTGACTTACTGGCCAATTATCAATATCATAATTACTTGTTGTGGTATTGTGCTCGTGTATAACCAAATAAGGGCACTGATGGAGACACCTGCATGGTACTTACATGCAGTGTAGTATGATTGGAATTTTGACACTCACATCCCAAATGAAATAGCTAATTTTACAAACAACACGATGTTCAGACCAGTTTCCAAGCTTTCTTCTCAGTTTGTCACGTTTTTCAAATGCCGAATTAATGCTCCTTTTTGTGGGCACACTCCTGTGTGTGTTATCAGCCTCCCTGAATATATTCCTATGCATTCATGGTATGTGGAAGGAGTCTCCTCCAAAACCAGAGAATGCTGATTGGCAGGGAATATGGAGAGGTTTAGGAAAATTCTTAGAAGCATGGGGACCCACAATGTCATGGGATTTCACTCTTGAATACCTGTGGGATTCCAAGAAAATAAGCCAGTATTTGAGTCAGGGATGATGCAGCTTACATAGATCTAAGGAGGTACAACTTATTTGGGGTTTGGCTTGTGCTTACCGCACCTTAAATAATACTATTCTGGAGAGAGAGAGTTTCCGAGCTGAGGTTCAAGCCAAAGGGGAAATTCTCCAAGTCAAATCTGATCAATCACAGGAGACACCAATAACAATGTCAGCTGCCCCTGAGGAAGGCAAGAAATGGAAATGTGAGTCTCGTGTCTAGGACGGAAAAAAGAAGAAATAGAGGAGGAAGTAGAGGAAGATCCATGCGAGCGGCACTTGTCAGAACCACTATCATCAGGGAAGGCAAAAGAAAAAACTAAGAGACATGCAGAAGAAAGTGATGGAAAAGAAGTCTCTATTACTAGCTGTTGGCCTCTGAAGATGACTGAAATCCAAGGCTCAAGAAAGGAGATTACACGTTGCCTGAATGAAACTCACATTTCCTGGTTGCTTTGCTGTTGGGACAGCAGGGCCAGTAGCTTGTCTCTAGATGGTAACGAAGCTCGCCAACTAGGAGGCATTGCCAGAGATTCAGCTACTGACAGAGGGATTAGTCGATGTTTGGATGGGGCTGCCGCTCTCTGGGAACAAGTGTTAATAGCCATGAAGGAAAAGTATCCCTTCAAAGATGGCTTGAAGCCTGTGATGAAAAAGTGGGATACAGTTGAAAAGGGTATCCAATATTTGAGGGAAATAGCCATGGTGAAAATGTTGTATGACCCTAACTTTGTTCCTAACCACCCATGCCAAGACCAGGACTCTGAGAGAGTGAGGATGACACCTTATATAAGGCGGAAACTCACAACAGCAGCACCAGAAAGATACACTGATACACTAAGAGCAATGTTTGACAGATACGAGGACCAACAGAGAACACCCTTAGTTTCTGAATTGATTCTTATGCTCCAAAACTATGAACAACAGCTACCCCCAACTCACGCTTTCATTTCTGCCATCTCAGAAATAACGGACCAAATGAATGAAATGCAAGAGCAAGTGTCTCTACTGATTAATTGTGACAAACCTGTAGCAGTATCAGAAACGCTTGATGAAGATCAGGATAATCAAGAGTCCAATGAAGGAGCTGATCAAACTAGTGCGAATCCAACTAATAAAAGATGATGAACCCTCCTTTTCACGTGTGCCATCAAAAATCTCAGCTGTTAAAGACAAATGCTTTCTGGCTCCAGTAAGGAATACTACATCGCGAATTGCCTTGTGGCGTTACCTACGTGACCATGGAGAAGACGTGAGGAAGTGGCACGACAAAGCTACTTCTGTACTACAAGCACGGGTGGGAGAATTACAAAGCAGATCAATCATCAGTACAGTTGCTCCAGTTACCGCAAGTAAGGAATAGAGGGGCCCTGCCCTTAGTCAGGGGGGAAAAGGGATAATAGAGTATATTGGACTGTGTGGATTCGATGGCCTGGCACATCAGAACCACTGAAATATAAGGCCTTGGTGGACACTCGTGCACAGTGCAATCTGATGCCCTCGAGTCATGAAGGGACAGAATCAATCCAAATTTCTGGAGTGACCAGGGGCTCTCGAGAATTGATTGCGTTGGAGGCTGAGATAAGCCTCACTGATAAGGACTGGCAAAAGCATCCTACTGTGACTGGCCCAGGGGTTCCATGTATACTAGGTATCGATTACCTCAGAAGGGGGCATTTCAAGGATCCCAAAGGTTATCAGTGGGCCTTTGGAATAGCTGTTCCAAAGCTGTTTGGAATAGTAGACACAGAAGGTGTTAAACAGCTGTCAGTTTTTCCTGGCCACTCAGAAGATCCATCTGTTGTAGGGTTGCTGCGAGTGAAAGAGCAACAGTTACCAATTGCCACAAAAACAGTTCACAGACAACAGTACTGCACAAATAGGGACTCCTTGTTCCCCATGCATAAGTTGACTCATCAACTAAAGAGATCAGCAAAACTCACTCACCTTCTAACAGCCTCTTATGGCCAGTGCATAAAGTCAGTGGAGAATGGAAGCAGACAGTGGACTACCGTGGCCTGAATGAATTCACATCCCCACTGAGTGCTGCTGTGCCAGACATGTTAGAACTCCAGTATAAACTGGAGTCAAAAGCAGCCAAATGGTATGCCACCACTGACATTGCTAATGCCTTCTTTTCCATTCCTTTGGCCAAAGAATGTAGGCTACAATTTGCTTTCACATGGAGGGGCATTCAGTATACTTGGAACCGTTTGCCCCAGGGGTGGAAACACAGCCCAACCATTTGCCATGCGTTGATCCAAACTGTATTGGAACAGGGCAGTGCTCCTGAGCACCTGCAGTACATTGATGATATCATTGTGTGGGGTGATACAGCAGAAGTCTTCAGGAAAGGAGAGCGAATAATCCAAATTCTTCTGTGTGCTGGTTTTGCTATTAAGCAAAGCAAAGTGAAAGGACCTGCCCAGGGGATTCAATTCCTAGGTATAAAGTGGCAAGATGGGCGTTGTCACATTCCAGCAGATGTGATTGATAAAATCACTGCTATGTCACCGCACACTAGCGAGAGGGAGACACAATCTTTTCTGGGCATAGTGGGCTTTTGGAGAACGCATGTTCCAAACTACAGCCTCATTGTAAGCCCACTTATCAGGTGATGCGGAAGAAGAATGATTTTACATGAGGTCCTGAGCAGCAGCAGGCTTTCGAACAGAGTAAGCATAAGATAGTCCAAGCCATGGCACTAGGGCAGTACGGATTGGACACGACGTAAAGAACATCCTCTACACTGCTGCTGGAGAGAACGGTCCCATTGGAGTCTGTGGCAAAGAGCCTCAGGAAAGACCCAAGGCCGACCCCTGAGATTCTGGTGTAGAGCATACTGAGGGTCGGAAGAGCGCTACACCCCAACTGAAAAGGAGATCTTAGCTGCATATGAGGGGGTGAACGTGCAATGTGTACCACAAGGAAATTTGATGTTGAGGGAGTGCAGTCAGTAATTCTATGTATGTATATATGTATATAGACAAGTGTGTGTAATGCATTTTAATCATTGTTTGTTTATATATATATATATTAAGCATGATGTAGTGATGTAGAATAAGGGGTGTGGAATGTCATGGCTTTGTGATTTTTGGTTTTGGATATTCCACATCATAACATCATGTAGTGCACTGGGAATTAAATTCTTTGTTCTTCAATCCTGGATACCTGACCTGTGTGTAGCAGAAGTTGTTGGATCGGGCCTTTCCTGTTTGGGCGATCTTTTACTGCTTTGTAATGGATGTTGGAGAGTGCTTTCCTAGCTGTACAAAGCTTTTCCAGTTTGACTCATTCTCAGGAACTCTCTCTCTTTCCTATTTTATTTGATTTATTAATCTCAATTTCAATTAGATTGTATTATATTGTATTCTCTTGCATTCTGATATCATGGTTATAAAATAAGTTTTCCTCCATAGATTTTTGCTGCTGTTTTTTTTCCTTCCTTGAGCCCAGCTCCCATCTTCTTATCCCTGTTCTCTTTTCCTTTCCATTCTGTGGGGTCAGGGGATGGGGGGAGGGCAGGGGCTTACTGTCACAGGCATAGACTGATCTAGTTAACTCGTGACAATTTCTGTGTGCGTTAAGATAGGAAAATAAATCAAAAATGTTCAAGGGTGTTCCATAATTAATTCCTCCTATACTTTTATGTTGGTCCACAACGTTAGATGAGGATATTGATAGAATAGCAGTAGAGGTTGAACTTTCCCAAGAATATTCCATTACATCCTGATCCTGTGCAACAGATAGCAGACGGGTAGTCCAAGAAAATGCCACCTGATTTGGAAGCATACGTGAAGAAAAAGTGTGTGATAGAATTTCTCCATGTAGAAAAATTGAATCACTTGACATTCATCAACACTTGCTGATTATTTATGGAGACCAAACAGTGGAAGTGAGAACAGTGAGGTGAAGAGTGGTATGTTTCAGCAGTGGCAATAACATGAAAGACAAGCCACTTTCTAGCTTGTGCATAGCAGTCACACCACAAAAAGAAAACTGTCTTGATCACATCATCCATGCAAACTTACTAATGGTGGTGGTTATGGTTATATTAAAAAAATAGTATTTTGTAGCTTAGACTTTGCTCTATCATAGAGTGTTATTATTATTTCCATTAAAATAAATAGGAGGCTTTACTTCCAGAATGGCCTATGTACAAGTGTAGGAAGAAAAGAAACTACAAGATTTTCCTCTGCAAGTATTTTGAAGTAATGTGACTCAAAACTTCTTTAACCAAAAAATATTGATATAACTTTTCTGGTTCAATAAAAATAAAACAAAATATGTTCCCTTTTATTTGAATTTAATCTTTCACTAGATTTTCAAACACCCAGTAAGGGAATACCATGTAGTCCATACGGTAAAGCTTTATTTCATTGCTCTGAGAGTATCCTGCCTTCAAAGGCTTCAAAGGTACATGGTAGCTGGACTTGGCTGAGTTCCAGACACCCACTCAGCCACTGTCATCCCCTCTCTTCAACAGGAGGTGTGGAGAAAAATAAGATAAAAAAAGTTCATGGATGAAGATAAAGACTGAGAGACTGCTTAGCAATTACTGTAACAAGCAAAACAGGTTTAGCTTTAGGAAAACTAGCTTAATATATTGACAACTAAAGTAGAATATTATGATAGGAATCATAGAAACAAGCAAATGAACACACAAAACTAAAACATTTCCTTACCCTTCTCCTTTTTTTTCAGGCTCGACTTTATTCCTACGTTTGCAAATGTAGCTCATATTCACTAAATGGGTACTGTTTTTTTTTTGTTTTTTTTTTTTTTAAATATTATTATTAGATCAGACAAAATAATGGAACAACTTAATTAGTGCAGAATATGAGTAACAGTATGGTGCAGAAATTTTAGTTTATTATTGTTTATCTTTAGTATTGATGATAAGGGCTAAGTTAGACCTATGATTGCCATAAATTATGACTTAAAACTCAGAATATTACTATGCTAATTGCCTATATTATTTTATTTTTAATCAAGTACAAAGAACTTAAAGGAAGTCAAATATTTTATATTTTTAACAACTTCTGCAATATATTTTCACTTTGGTACATGTGAGAAGATCAAGCTTGAGTCAAGTGTGGAAAACAAACACAAAAAGGAGCAAGAAGGCAAATAATGTCTAATGAAAATCATTCATCTCCCTGATTCCTTTCTCAGGAAGTAGCAGTTGCTCAGTAAGGAGTCATAGAAGGAAATATGACTTCTCATTTTAACTGTCTTGAACCTGCCAGCAGCTAGTCAAATAAAGGCACCAAACTTTCCCATAACATCATTGTACTTCTATTTTGACACAACTAACAGTAAGTTCCATTTCCTTTCCCCCTCTTTCCCTCTCCATTTATCTTGGTTGAGATAAATTTTCATCAAAAAGTGATTCATTCCATTCACAACAGACGTATATTTTCTATACATTCAAAAACGAAAGCTGAATATGAAATCAAAAGCAGTTACTATTTGTACTAAAAAGTAATATTTGCATTAAGTTTAAATAGAAATAAGTAATTTACAGAATCTAGTATCTCAGTTGTATCTGGAAGGGAAATAATTTTGCTCCTGGATGTAATCTGTGTTGCATTTTAATTTATGTAGCACAGAACTTAAAATGAGTTGCATGTTTTTCCTCTGAATGTTCTGCTACAAGAGGAAACTGGGATTTTTCATGCAGCTGTTAATGTTAGCCATTATATGTTTGTCTGAATATCAGTGACACCTATGCTTCCTCCCTTATGTGTTCGATTACCATAGATCTTAATAAGTCTTTTTTTTTTTTTTTTTTTTTTTATCATAGAGTGTGAATACAAGTGAAACTTAACAAACAGATCCTAAGCTAAATATTGAGCCTGTGAAATACAAATCTGTTATCTTAGATAAATGTCATCACTGCAAAAATGGGCTAATGAAAGTTTGATAAAATGAATGAATGGTGATTTCCCATTAGGAGCAAATACAGGAATAATTTCTTCCACTGTATTTGATAATGAGGACTATGTCTGCATATTTCTTTTTCTAGAAGACAT